TGTAGAGATTTCCCCTTTTATTAATTAACATTATACTTTAAAAAATTTAATTCTTATAATAGTATTTTATAATTATTTATTATTTATTTTTGTTTTATTTATTTTTAGCATTTTTTAGTATTTATAGCGGAAGAGCCCCTTTGGGAGCTATAATAATAAAGCCACACGGCTGCTAAATATATAAGCACACTAAGACAATGGGAAATGCGCTTTATAAAACCTCCCATTATTATTATTATTATTATTATTATTATTATTACTACTTTTTATATATTCACAGACCGTTAACTTTTATGTCAGTTGCCTATTAACGCATGCGCAGGAAATAATCGGTTGATCCCACACGTGTCAGAGTCTTGAGCAGCAGTGAATTCGGGCTTAGCCTTGAATCCAGGATTAGCTTTTTTTTGTTATTCTAATTTCTGCTTTTGTTTAGAGACCGCAGAACTAATGCCTAGCCTCCAAACACTGTAGTTTTAAGAGTCGTCAATACGATGGACTCTACACTGAATCGAAATATGGCGYCCAGTTTGAATAACTATTATTATTGTGGACTTAGTACCCTCGTGTTCACCAACTAAGAAGACCACGTGTCATTCCCTTGAGTATCAATGGGACATGCAAATGGGACAAAGACTCCTATTCTCAAAAGGAATTTATAGCACGTTAATGACCCAAACAAACGCGCAAGGTAAAGAGATCTATTACTATGATGCCCACAGATCTTGCCCCCCTCTGTATCATCTTCTTATTTTATCCTCATCCTCTTCTTTTTTGTGTCTATCTTTTTCTTGTCTGTTGGTGAAGTGGAGGGCGGGGCTCACAACCCCGGCGTGCGGTCGGCGTCCTAGTAGGACCCCTCCTAGCTGATGACCACCACACTTGACCCTTTGCACTTCGTGGGTCAATCACTGGTGAGATGGCCAAAACAAAAAGACTATGTACATTTTGTGTGCCTTAATATGCTGTGGAATAAACACATGCAGGCTGGAAAGAAGGGAAATGGAAGAGCAGCAACATGTAGGGATTATATATAAGTATGATATGAAATTATTAAAACGAAAAGATCAAAGCAAATGTTTAGCTACATTTTTATTGATTTCCATCAAAACCTACTTTGCTTTGTGCTCATTGCGCACGCGTATTTCAAGATTAGTGATACAGTATACCCAAAACGACAGTCCCACACGGAAAGCCGTCAACGAATGCATGACTATCTTAGGGTTAATAAAATATATAACTGTAGCTTCAAGTTCAATAGTGAAAAAGTGGAAGAGGCATAAGRGTAAACAAAAAATTGTTGTAAATCAAAAAGTGATTGGATATATTAAATATAACTGAGATGCGCTATATAATATAAGAATATATGATTCAAAATCGTGTAAATTGTATTCCAAAAAAACGCAATACTTCAAGGTACGATATTTCATGTTTGACATAAAGGTTGGTGCCAAAAATAAATGAATTTTAAAAAGATTATTAAACTGTATTCCTGACCAACCCCAGGTAGATAAACCACCCCAAGTAGATAAACCACCCCAGGTAGATAAACCACCCCAAGTAGATAAACCACCCCAGGTAGATAAACCACCCCANCCACCCCAGGTAGATAAACCACCCCAAGTAGATAAACCACCCCAGGTAGATAAACCACCCCAGGTAGATAAACCACCCCAAGTAGATAAACCACCTCAGGTAGATAAACCATCCCAAGTAGATAAACCACCGCAGGTAGATCGAGGAAGCAAAGAATGTCCATGAAATATATCACCCAACTGTGCCCCCAATTTACAGATGCGCAAATATGTAATAACCCTCGCTGAGATATCTCCCTTCAAATTTAACGTTACAGTTTCCTGCGTTCCGTTCTGGAACGCTCACTGGAAATACTTGCAAAACTAAACATGYCGCATCCCACATGGAAAAGACTGGGAAATGTTTCGTTGTACCCTGTGTTTTAATTCCCCATGGAATTGATGGATTTTCAACAAATTCGCTTTAAAAATCTCTTACGGTCGCACTTTCTTAATTGCGCAAATGTGCGCAAAGATGGTACATCCCACATGGACGGCTAGGTTGGTGAGATTTAGGTAGTTGCATTTTCATTTCGACAAAATTTAGAATTTTGCTTTTTTTTCAAGGATCCAACGTTGATGCACAACACCTCTTCAGACATTACGAATATACCACAAAATAAAGATTATTGATTGGAAAGAAATAATGGACAAGGTAGATTTGTGCGAAAATTGTACATCCCACATGGATAATTGTGAGGAAAAGATAGAGATGCAAGGGTGTGGCTTGGTTCCTTGGGGTCATTTCAAGAGTTCCCCTGTTTAAGAAGAATACATTTCAAAGAAAACAAAATAATCAAAAATAGAGATTGAGAGACAATGATAAATAACAGTGTTAGGGTTAGAACCCTAGCAATAATTCTAGCTAGCTAGAATTTCGTGTTAGGGTTAGGGTTAGTGTAAAGATCGTTAGGGTTAGGGTTAGCGTTAACCCTAACCCTAACGATCTTTTACCTAACCCTAACCCTAACCCTAACGATCTTTTGATCTTTTGATCTTTTTATTTTATTTTATTTTATTTTATATTTTTGATTTTTAACTCCTTTATTATTTTTTTTACACCAAAACATTTTTTTTTTTGATTCTTCAAAGGGGGTACTTTTGATCCAACCCTTAAAGACTAATTAAGAATCTTGGATATATACTAAGTGTTCAGTTTTATAGAGACACTCTAGAATGTCTATGTGTAGAAGTCGAATTTTYGTTCCATAATTTCGTCCTCCATCCACCCCGTCCTCCTCCCCATGGAAATGCCTCTCTTCTCTATCTTTTAGTCACAACTGTCCATGTGGGATGTATGTTTTTTGTACAAAACTACCCTTTTCGAACATTTGTTTTCACTCGAGTATCTGTATTTTGCCCTTTATCGTACTCTCTGTACAGGGGGACATCATGGAAGACCCACGTAGAGACGCCGTGCATCGAGCCAGCATCTTCATCAGATCCTTGGTAAATGTGGATATCCAGCAAGGAAGGATCTTAAAATTGAATCCTTGGAAAAACGAAGTAGAAAATCCATATAGGATCCTCCTCRTCCCCATCCAACCTCCCTGAATCGGAACAATGCAACTTCCTACATAATACCAAGCTATCTATCCATGTGGGATGTTCTTTTCTCAAACTGTGTTTATATCAGTTCATGAGGACAAGACAAAGGAAATAATGACTACCTTGCAGGCCGCAGGTAGGAGATTAAAATTAAGATAAAATATGGTCACCCTTAGTTTTAATTTTCTCCCAAAAATACCAATGAATTGAGATTATATATTAAAAACATGCAATATTGTATAGTAACTACTAAGTTCTTTCTCGTTCTTTGAATGCAAAGTTAATTTTCTTGTTTGATCTATTACTTCTTGGCTCGAGCACAGTTTTGATGAGCGAAGTTACGTTTTACTTCGCTAGCATACAATTATCTGAAGGTGCGAAAAAGTCAAATCCCAAGGGACTAAAATTGGGTGTTCCAATAGCATTATCCATGTGGGATGCGCTTCATTACTGAATTATAGTCAAAGGTCGGTTTATAAATGAATATTTACCATAAGCTGGGCAAGGATATAAAGTACTTGAATGATACACCCGAGTTGAAGGCCGGAAAGATCATGCATTATGTAATATAAATTGCGTTTTAACAGGTTTAAATGCTTCATATCAACATAGCACACAACGTACAGTTTGAAGTATTTTATTTTAACATTTTTTTAACGAAATTAAAGCAGTAATACAGAAACTTATAAACAAAACTTTCCCCTGCATCACAGCTTCATGGTATTGCCATAYCAATGAGTATAATACGAATGCAAATGCTATTTGATTTAATTCCTTTCTAGCCCTGTCAATTCATCGTTCCCTGCCAATGAACTGAGCAAACTAAGGCCCCGTCCACACGTATCCGGAAATTTTTGTATCCACAAATTTTTCCACACGCAAAAATTTCCGGGTACGTGTGGACGGGACCTAATACGCCTTTTTATTTTTAATAACTTGTAATTTGCATACGCATATAATACTCTCATAACGTCCTGATTTAAATAGCCTATGGATATCTGATATGCAATAAATTCAATTTATTTCTTTTTTTAGACAGTTTAATGACAAGCTCCCTAACCGAAGAAGTCGCTCTTCTCTGTTCATAACGACTATAGACAATGCATATCCTCATTCTGCCTTCTACTCCATCTCCGATGATAAACAGCGCACTGACGAGGTCAATAATAGAGTCCTCTTTTCAGGCCCATTGTCATCAAAGAATGATACATCAATGAGGTACCAAAGTTCCTGTGCAGTTTGTACTTACGCAATKAACTAATTTCTAAATAAATCACATTCTCTGGCAACAACCTTACTTATYAAGACCCATTAACGCGTGTGGGATGCATAGGTACATAAACCTAAACTGCGCATGTCAACAACAATACGTCACGATGAATCTTCTAATATATATATTTTTTCATTTTTCCAGTTTCAGATCTAGAAATTTTTATTTGTTAATACATTTTTAAGGTTTCCCAATAATTTTGTTTTAACACTCTTCTCATATCAAAGGGTAACGTCAAAACAATTGCCATCTTACTGGACCAGTGCTTAAAAGGGGAGGGGTGGAGCTATTTGCTACTCATCACATTTCAATCTCGTACCCAGTGCCTRCGTTTCTTCTGGCCTGCGGCGAAGAACCAGGGCTATGGCATAATCCATATTTTGGCGCATGCGCAAATTTCTTGCAGTGAAATATAGCCAATGAAAGTAATCAAAGTATAAATCAAAGTAAAAATCAAAGTTAAATATCAAAGTTAAAAAAAGTACAAATTAGAAATCGGGAAGACACATATATACATATATATTGGCAAGCCTTTGAACGCATGCGCTCTTATACCGGAAGTCCAAGAAATCCTGGTCTCAGGAAGTGAATTACGCCAGAGCCCTCGTTCTTCGCCGCAGGCCAGAAGAAACGTAGGCTCTGGGTACGAGATTGATCCCGTTTAAAAAGATATATGGCAGGTGCGGATCCAGGAATTTGTTCAGGGAGGGGTGCACTGCACATAGTTAACCAAGGGAGGGGTGCACCCCTTAGAATCAAAGGGGAAAAACATTATTTTGCATTGGTTATCTTCGAAGTAGGGGCACAGAGTTGAACCAGGGAGGGGTGCGCATCCCCTGCACCCCTCCCTTGGATCCGCCACTGTATGGTGAACGCATGCGCAACGACTACTCAACGGTTCCCACATGTACAAATGCTGGAGTCTTGAATCGTGTAGTAGATAAACATATCAATTACAAAATTTCTTCTCGTCGGTTGTTAGAGTGATTTTCCTTTCCCCTGAAAAAATAGTGAACGTAATATTTAACAATTATAAGTGAATATCGGGGAAATTTACCGAGACGCGAGTCTTCGATTGGCGAGGTAAATATTCTCCGATATTCAAAGAGGTTGAGGCAAATAATTGTTTTAGTATAAATACACAGGTGATTCTTTCAAAAAAAGAAAAAAAAAAAAGAAGATAAAAGACACATTTAAGATTAGGAAAAATGTAAACAAATGGTTTCAAATAAAAAAAGCCTTTGTTACACCGACTTTGCGAATCAAAACAGTTTGTTTCAGCTTATTTGATTGATAATTTAAGTCCTTTTTTACCTTTAAGTAAAGTTAGTGCAAATTTGTTAGCCTTTTTAGTCCTTTTGGGGATAGCATTTTCTTTCATTATTTCTAATTCCTCTCCGGTAACAGCAACAAAGCGGCTGGCCGCCATTTTGGATTATCGCTGGAGGTGATTATGGTGTGATAGTGCGAGTTTCTCGACCAATCAGTGCGCGAGATTTTCAATAATCACCTGTGTATTTTTACTAAATAATAGTAGACACTAGAGTGCAAACAATATAACCGTGAAACTTTAGTAATACTAAATAGCACAATTTCATGCAAATTCCATTGTCTTCTATTGTTTAATTAGCACTATTTTGTGCTAACAAATGTGTCGTAGTTGATAATTTTATCACTGTATATACTAAAGATAGTAGAYTGACGTTTCGAACGTTAGTCCTTCGTCGGAGTCAATTTTGTACTATTTAGTAATTAGTGTTTCACGGATTAATTGTTTGCACTCTAATTGTTTTCTCTTGTTTTACTTTGACTGTTAGTCACTAAATTCGTTTCACGGGGCATTTGAAATAACTCGATCATGTCCCATTCCCTCCAAGCGGAATAGAATTGTAAATGGACATTAGACTATTTAAGAGGGAAAAAATCCTTTTAGAATAAAGAGTTTAAAATGATTCAGTGAACCTAAATAATGAAAAAATATCAGTCTTTTTCCTTTTGTAATCATCCGATGTCGCATCTAAGCAAGCTGCATTTCATTCGAGTTCTGCTGAAAAAATAAATATTGCAGAAAAACATCAACGAATTTAAGAATCATAATAAATTATAACGCTGATTAAGCTCAAACTATCATTATTCATGTGTTAACTTTCAAACTGCAAACTCTGAAACTCTAATCGATCCAGATTAAAAAATTGTCTTAATATAAATTACTCCCAAATCAATAGGACTCTTAGAAGTGTTGACAGGAATGTAGATCGCAGCTGTTTTCTTCGACGTCACTCGATTCGATAATGATGTCACTATCTTTTTGGTGGCGTATTAGGAGTGATAACTCGGGCTATTGCCGACATGACCTCGTTGAACTGACCTTCAAAATAAGTGTCTGCAGCTTATCAACCAAGAGAAAACCTGTAAGAAAACGAACTAAAATGGAAGGAAAACTTCGAATGAGCCTGGCGTTTTTCGGTGAGTTAAATTCAAACTGATTTTGGAGCGGAAGATATTCGTACTGTTGGATGCTGTTCGAGTCGTGTGCTCTTTCTAAGACATCTGGAACTATCTGGAATAGACCATCAAAATATCTTTCTTTTGAGTTGCTGGTAAATAGAAATCTTAAATGTTTGACTTCTATGGAAATTGGACCACGAAGATGGGGAGAAGTTAATCTACAATGCTCAAAGCGATAACCAGGAGTTGCAAGATACGTCTTACGAATTCTGAATCGATCAAACTTTTCGCTTCTGTCAGATTCGGCGTAGGATTCGGCGCCTCGTATAAGGAAAAATAACATATCTAGCATGATCATATCTACATTAATCAAATACAAAGGCAAAAGGCAGGCTTTTGAATTTCCAGTCGACTGTGTGAAATATTTTATATTTTAATTTTCTTTCGTATTTGGTTGAAATTTAATTCCCGATTTACTTTACTCCTCAAATCACCTAAATTCGTGCACAATTTACCGAATGCAGAATGAGAGAGACATAGAACGAAATATAAAAATTGTACAATTTTGAATCACTAGAATAAAATTAGGTTTCTATGGCTACTCGCTTTGTTTACATGTTTTTTGTTTTGTTTTTACTCGAAGTGTTAGATTTTTAGAAATTTAGACTTTTCACGGCTTTTTTGTTGCTTAATGTTTTTTTTTTTTTTTTTTTTTTTTACTTAGAACTAATTCTGAACCAATTCTGTCTCAAAAAGAAAGATAAACTATCGTAAAAACAATGATAAGACAAGAAAAAGCCGGTGCAAGCCAAACTAAAGCCAACGTTTTACTTTGTATAGTATAAATTAAAGCTTATAAGTTATGTAATAAGTTATATAAGTTATATGCCATGGTCGGCTGTATTCGTTGATTGCTAACCTGTACCAAAGTTTTAACTATGCCTGAACTAAAACATATGGAAAATTTCGATGTAAAATCTCAACAAACTCCCTTAGACAAAATCTAAAAACGTCTATTCTTTCCACACAACTAAATTTCTATCAAAAAAAGCAAGACTTTTGAAAGCAAAACTTGAATTTTTTCCATTACATCGAAGCATAATTAATTTTAACTATAATTGAAGCCTTAATAATAAATGCAGAAAACAGTGTTTTTGTTAGTTCCCATAGAAACTAATACTTATTTTTTATAACATTAAGTGTTGATGAAAAAATTAAAGGAATAAGAATTATTATGACTTTTCAATAAAAAGAGTATTCAGGTATACCTTAACTGAAAGTGCGTAATTTTTACAGAATTTTGTGAAATATATGAAGGTCATTTCAGCCTAAAAGCTGACGGTTAACTTTATATCTTTTCTAGTAAAGAAAATTTGATTGTAACTCTAAGTATATTTGTTTCCATTTTTCTTTTTTTCCATCGTTTAGTTCTTCTGTCCGTTGCCAGTCAGCTTAAGGCCTCAAGTAAGTATAATTCCTATCTATTTATATTAATATTTCTCTCATTCGTTCTATAATTATTTGACAAATTATATATGTGTTTGTTTACTAAGGGGATAGGAAGAAAAATCATCTTCCTGGATTGTGTAGTCAGCGTATCATAATCATAAAAAAAATATTCCCTACTTTATTTTTTCATTTTTTCATTTATTTTTTATTTCCCAGCATGTTATCTCAGTGCTCAACGTTTGGATGCCAATCCGTATGGGTCCAATTTTTCCCTCTCATCCCCTAACTACCCCTTTAACTACTACAACAACCAGGACTGCTCTTGGTACATCGCTGCTCCTTACAGCAGCATGCTCATCAAACTCACATTCTACGACTTCTATCTGCAGTCTTCTACATCGTGTACTCGAGACTATATCGAGATTAGAGACGGTCGTTATAGCAGCTCTACGTTTCTCAGTCGGTACTGTGGCTCGAAAAGACCTCCAACTATTATCTCAAAGGGTCGATATCTCTATATCAAGTTCCATAGCAATTACATGTCTACCTACAGGGGATTTAAACTGACATACACTGCAGTTTCTCCAGGTAGGCAAGGATAAGATCCTGTTTGTAGATGGAATTATAGCAGATATTGGCATACACTCTTTTGCCTTCAAATAATAGACCAGTTTCTCTAGGTTGCGTGCGCATTCAAATTTAAGGAACTTGACGGTTGTTGCAGGTAATGTTGCAGCCATGTTCACATGATGGAATTGGTTGCGCGCAATGTTGCAAATATCTGTTAATATCTGTTATTATATAACCGTGAATCTTAGAGCCTGGACACTAGCAAATCGAGCAATCTGATTGGATAGATCGCATCGCGGACTGGTCTAGATTCTCCGGTATTAACCGGTCCGATCGCATATTAATCTTACGTCGAAAACATTTTGTCCTATTCAATAAAAAGTGGTCATATAATAAAACTCTTATCAACCGAGCTTGGTCGGTCTGTACGGGATAATCTTGACCTCGGTCAAGATTATCCCGTACAGACCTCCCGCTCGGTTAATAAGATCTAAGTAATATCTGTTGCGCGCGGCATGCATGGCAATAATATCTGTTGCGTGCGGCATGGCAATATCGGTTGCGCGGTAATATCTGTTGCGCGCGGCATGGCAATAGACGCGTGTTGTCTGCAATAAACAACAATTTATCAACAAAATGAAATTATGAGAATACACCCGTGTTGTTGTCTGCAATAAACAACAAGCTACACGTTTAACCTATCACGAAGATAGTTTGTCCCATAGACAACGTGGTTTGATCACAAGCTACAGGTTTAACCTATCACAAAGATAGATTGTCCCATAGACAACGTGGTTTGATCACTTCCGTTTATCTCTTTATTCAGTGACAAACGCCAAGGGTAAATGTTCATCGTTATACTCCTTTGAAGCTAACAACAACATACAAATGACGTCTGAACAAGGCACCATCAAAAGTCCAAACTATCCAATATTCAACTACCCCAACAATATCCAGTGCACTTGGAAAATAACCGTGCCGAGAGGCAAGACGATCAAACTGACTATCGACTACATGAGCATGGAGTCATCTCTGTTCTGTACTGCAGATTATCTGCAAGTGCGGGATGGATATTACTCGACCAGTACTAAGAAGGGTGATTACTGTGGAAGCACGAGACTGACTATCACCTCATCATCGCGGTATCTGTGGGTCCGCTTCCGCTCTGATCATCAGTATACCGCCAAGGGATTCAGTCTGTCTTATTCCACGCGGGAAGAATCTAGTGAGTATAGTTTCGTATRCATTTAAGAAAAATGGTTGTTTAGAGCAAAAAAGGTGAGGGTAAGGAATTAACTATAACTTAGTCAAGCTCCGCCCTCCCCTGCCCTCCCCTCTATAATTTCTACAGCTGAAATGTTTAGAAGGCAATTCAGTAAAGATTATATACCGTTACCGAGGTGGATTTGATATATCTCATATCCACCGTGGTTTAGGTATATAACCACCTCACATCATCACTGGAAAAGTCTCTTAAAACGGGGTTAATTTGATAACTAGATATCATCCTGCTGGACATTCCTTTGTTTAATTAAGTTGGGTGAATATGAAGGATATAGTCCGACAGTGACTCAATGATGATATAATATAGATTAAAGATGGTTTGGTCTCTTGTCTTCACAGGCTCAACTGTTGGAACCATTATCGGTGTGTTGTCTTTTGCATGAAGAAGAATARAAATCGTGGTGTAGTTGTACGAAACTCAGCTCCCCGCTCTACCGTAAACACCACCACTGTTAGCATTGCTACTCAGCAAAGCCAAGGGGTAGTCATCCCACCACCTCAAGGACCACCAACGTATGGTCAACCTGAGCCGTATCCACAGAAAGGACAGCAATACCCAGGACCACCCCTCATGGGACAGCCCAATCCATACCCAGGGCCACCCCCCATGGGACAGCCCAATCCATACCCAGGGCCACCCTTCATGGGACAGCCCAATCCATACCCAGGGCCACCCCCAATGGCACCAGTACAACCCAATCCATACCCACCCCTCCCTCCAGTAGAAGTGAATCTAAACCCACAGCCACCCCCACCAGGATATCCAAACTCAGGTGGTCCCCCTACAGTATCTATGTAAGATTACAAGTCGTTGTACATATTCTTGATAAAGTGTATACCATATATCCGTGAAAAGCCTCGTAAGAAATTAATGGCACAAATTAGTAAGTTCAGTAGACCTCAGTAGACCGTAGACCTACAAAACTTTGCACAAATCTGTACAATTTTGTTAWTTTTTTCACGGATACATGGACGTATGCACTCTAATGTATATTCCATTATATGGGTTGTAGTATATGCTGTTGCTATGACACTTTAATTGCTATAGCAACAAGTTGGTCGTGACTGCTAGGGAACAAAGCTTGCCATGCTGCATGGTGTAGCAGTTTGATATAGAGTCGGTTGCACGACTTTAGAATAGCAAGCCTTTTCATAGTTTAAGAATCGATTCCACTGCGCATGCGATTTTATCCCGAATTTCTCACCTTCTTTTGTTTAATTAAGAACAAAAGGTTTAGAAAAAAGGTGAGAAATTCGGGATAAAATCGCATGCGCAATGGAATCGATTCTTAAACTATGAAAAGGCTTATACATAACATCGTCATGACAACATTCTTGTGATGACCAATCACAGTATGTGAGCATTGCAATCAGAATGCTCTGACCTGAAACTCGCATAGTTCATTCACTTTGTACTATGCATGATTTTTTCATAGTTGCACAAAATCTTGTTATCATTTTGTAAATTTCCTAAACTTCACAACATTACAACATTACAATGTCAGAAAATCATCATTACTTTTCAGATCCATTTTTCTAATTTCCCATTTTTCTAACTTCCCAATTTTCGCTTTTAGTATTTCCTTCTTTTCTTCACACTTTTAAACAACACTTTCATTCATTAATTTTTATTTTAAAAAATTCTATCCATTGTTATTCACAGGATTTTTCTTCCGAGAATATTTGCTACTGATCAATTTTCAAAACATTCTAAATTATATCTGAAAAATTTCCTAGAAAAACTGCTTTCAATACAACTGATCTAAAGTCAGTAGAGCTTTTCATACAATGGGTTGTTTTGGAATTTGATGTGTTTCTTATATTTCTTCTACGTTAAAGTTAACTTTATATTACAATTTCTTTATAACTTTTACTATTTAATTCTATGTTATTTACTAACATTAAAGCGTTTTTTGTCCAAATGCGTGGAATGCCATAAGTATTTTAACTAGAAAATTAAGAATGGATCTTGTGAAATTTTGTAAAGTGTGTGTTAAATGCTAGACTTTAATTCTGAAACTCATTAATATTTCACGTTGATAAAACAGTTTATCACTACTGTGATGGAAGAATGAATGTGTGTTCTTAATAAGCATAAACATTTTCAAATTTAGCTTCGATTTTGCACAAGAAATATTAATGGTTTGAGAAGCCTTATCAAAAAATACAAAGAGTGTTTCTACCTCTATCCAATCACCTCAGAAGTGGATAAAAACACTTGGTTAAGCCTCGTTTTTTGACACGCTACTTTGTGTTTGGATATGAAATAAAACACTATTTCTATTCTTCGATCTACAGCTATTTCAGAAAAGGTTGGTGAAGATTTTGTTTCATGTTGCATGTTGCAGAACCAAGCTCGAACTGCACTACGGGTGATCAATATGGAATTTTCCCAAACTTTGTCTGCACGTATTTCCAGCATATTTTCTTCTGTGCTGAAATTTATATTTACATGAGTAGGATAAATTCCAAGCTTGGTAAGCAAAATGCCATACGTATAACAAAACTCTGACCGACCTTTTTTAAAATAGAGAGTGTATTGTATATTGTGYGTATAGGTTTTCATTGAAGATACATGCCTGTTGCTCTAGAGGCACTTGACTAATGTAAGAAAACCCTAGAAAACCCAAGGTATCTTAACATTAATTTTTTTTTAAATTCCAGAAAATATACTGCACATATTATTAAACTTGCTAATACTATTCATCATTTTCTCTAAAATTTTTACTTTTGTCAACTTTGTATGAAAGTCAAAAGGGTAAGAATAATGTGCAAAGCAGTTGATATGATAAATTTTGAAATCTAGAAAGAGTATAGCAAGTATAGCATGTTGATAACATTCAATTCTAATGCAAATTTAACAAGTGCTAGCTGCAACTTGACTTGATTAATGAGCAAATTTATAATCTCTAGTTTGCGTTGTTTTTTAGGGAGCAAGTTGTGATCTAGTTGGTTTCATCTAGTTGATCTAGTGATCTCAAGGAACTTGTTACGAATGTAATTATTTAATGTAACGAATTTAAATTTGAAGTATATATGTGTAAATTGTGTAAATAGCCATCCTATATTTTGCGTTATCACTATTAACATATCAGATTTGAATGGGACACATTATTTAGATCCATAATTTCATTAATTGAATTTGAAATTTGATATTGAGAGTAGAGAAACTAAGTAGAACAGAGAATTTAGGGGGTAAGCGTGGGACAAAACAACCTCCCACCCCCCCCCCCCCAGGGGATAGTACCAGACTAATCTTCAGTTGTTTCATCATAGTCTTCGCCACCGAGCTCTAAAAATCCTTTGTGTATTTGGTAGAACGATAGGCGGTCGTCGCTTTCCTAAAAACACAACGAAATTCAAGGCTTGACACTTGTCAGGACATGGCTATCTCACAGATTGAACGCTGAAACAATCTCTGGGCTAATCATGGTCAGGGCAGGGTTAACTCACGGATTGAGCCCTGAAATAACTTTTGTGCCGATCTGAGTAAGGGTATACTTTTGTGCCCATATGAGTAAGGGCATGTTAACTTGTTAGGTATTACTGAAGGAGGGAAACCAGAGAACCCTGAGAAAACAGTTGAATCTAAGCGCAGGGAATATCCCCCAGAAAAAAGGTTAAAGGATGCAAACTATAATCCAATTGATAAAAGTGAATGATACAAGATAGATTAAGGGTCTCACCTCAAGCCAACAGTTTCTCATTATCTCATAAGCTAGTTCAGGACAGCGCCCAGGTCTCTCCAACCGATAGTTATTCAGCATCTAAAGACAATGGAAAAGCGTTCACTAGATGTCGTATAGACAGATTTTATACGTGATAATACGTTATACACCTTTTGCTGTTCATTAACAGAAAATGTACATTCATTTGTGCC